TCCTATTTATCCTGTCTATAGCTTGTTTGTATATATTTTTTGTTTGCTTCTTGTCTCCCCCATTAGACTGTGAGCCCTTTGAGGGCAGAGAGACTTTTTGCCTCTTTTTGTATCCTCAGTGCTTAGCACAGTGCCTGGCTCATAGTAAGCAGTTAATAAATGCTTACTGACTGGCTGGTCTTCAGAAAGCAGACAACCTGTGGCTAAGATCACATTCAGATACTTTCCAGCCCAGTAGAACTTGCCAGGGATTGAATCCATAATGGTTTGATCTTTAAGAACCTGGGATCACCTCCATGCCAAGATGGCACACTGGAGTAGGACTCCGTGGAGAATTGATCACAACAAATAAACTAAACAATATTTTAAATATTTTAAAGCATTTGCATAAATGATATCAATGGATATCCCTAGAACAGGATTCCTTCACTTGGGGTCCATGAACTTTTTTTTAATCTTGATAACTTTTCCAACATTAGTGTCCTTTATAATGCTGTGTATTTTATTTTATGTACTTAAAACCATTCTGAAGAGTCTAAAGGCTTCATTCACCATGTTGGTATAGGAGTCCATAGTATAGAATGACTAAGAACTCTTGAACTAGAATAAGAAGAGATGTTAGGAATTGGTGGAGGGAAAATCTTAGATTTAAGCATCTCTGATAAAAGTCTGATATTTATGACATTTAGGAAATTGACTCATTTATAAGACTAGAGATGAAACTAGAATATAGTAGATAAGTAGTTGAAGGGTATAAACAGTTCAAAAGAAGTAGAACTTCAACAATTGCTCCAAGTCACTGCTAATTGATAGGTGACAAATAAAAACAACTGAGGAGTCAAATAGGCCAAAATGATCAAAGAAATTGTCTATGTTGGAGGGGCTTTGGGAAGATAGATACACTATGCATATACTGTGAGTGGAGCTGTGAATTGTCCAAGCATTCTGGAAACCAACTTGGAATTGTGTCAGCAGAGTGGCTACCATGACCCAGCAATCTCCTACTAGGCACATACCCCAAGAAGGTCAAAGACAGAAAGGTCCCATATGTGCCAAAACATTCACTGTGGTACTTTTTGTAGTTAACATAAAAATCCGAAACCAAGATGCTGATGGAGGAGTAAGCAAAGTAAGGTTCATGTAGATAGGAAAGATTAGTATGCCATAAGGAATGAGGTATATGAGGAATTAAGAAAAATATAGGAACTGTATGTATGAACTCATGAAGATTAAGGGTAGAACCAGAACAGTATACCCAACTAATAATGACAGCACTTTGGGGTTGGAAAACACTTTGCTAATATCTCATTTGATCATCACAACAAAAATTGTATTCCCTTTTTCCTAGATAAGGAAACTGAGACAGAGGTTAAGTGATCTGCTCTGGGTCAGATAGCTAAAAAGTAAAAGAGGCTGTATTTGAACTCAGCTCTTCCTAATGAGGCCCAGGCAGGGATGGGGAACCTGTGGCCTCCAGGCCACATGTGGCCCTCTAGGTCCTCAAGTGCGGCCCTTTGACTGAATCCAAACAAGTTTGTTCTGTGGAGTTTGGATTGAGTCAAAGGGCCACACTTGAGGACCTAGAGGGCCACATGTAGCCTTGAGGCTGTGGGTTCCTCACCACTGGCCAGGGATCTCTATTCCCTGCACCTCCTAGCTGCCTGACTATAATAATATGAATGAAGATAACATTTAAAGCAATAGAACGCAGATCAGATGCAATAATATTATTAATATTGACAAGGTTTGGGGGTGCTGGGACCCAGAGAATGCCAAGGCAGAGTTGCCTGGAATGAATTCACACACTCAAGCCTTCTCTTAGTCAAGTGGCAAAAAGTTTACTACTGTAACGCTTTAGAAAAAGCGGGTAAGGGTCCTTATGGAACCTTCGAGAGAAGTAGGATGTTGCTGGGGCTTATGTGGAAAAGGAGCATGGGAAAGGAATGCCAGGGAATTAGGCAATCTAAGGGTCCAGGTGCCTTTGGGAGCTATGGATGGGAAAGTGTAGGGCATATACCAGACAGGGCCTTGTCAGAGGCATGGCTTGGGGATCTGGCTCGAGGGGGAGCCCTTGGGCCCACCAAGGACAAAAATCTTTGGGCCAGGCACCCCTCTGTCTGTTCTGATAAGAGAATGTGTTCTGCAGCAAGAGAAAATTTTCTCACAGAACAAGGGACCTACTGAGAAATTGGGAGGCTTCCCAAGACATGATCTTAGGGCTGGGGCCCGAGTACCCATCAATATGTTATACTGTTCACTACCACGTAATTGATGATTAACATAGGACCTTCCCTCTTCCTAAGATCTTGTATGAGGAATTCATGCTAGTTGCAGGTATACGCAGCACCTCGGAATTTTTCACTTTTGTAAGTGTAGAACTCTAGACCTTAAGTAACTCAATTTTGTTTTCAGGTCAGTTCAAGGGACTGCTAAGTCATGTGCCAGCCATCACCGTGGAGTGGATGCAAGCCTCCCAGTGGCAGGAACTGTTTGTGTCCTGAGCCTGGAGCCCAGGACCGCGCACAAAGCGGGTGCTTAATAAGCGAACATTTATTGAATGTAACTGAGCATCTCGTATTTACAGGGAGCTTCTGGATTTGACAAAGCCATTCAGAGTCATGATGTCACAGGACCCTTGCAATATCCCTGTGAGGTCTGTAGGTACTGTTACCGCCTTCATTGTTACAGATGAGGCGACTGAGGCTGAGACATTTTTTTTTGCCCCGGGTCACAGTGTTAAAGGCCAGATGTGAACCCAGGCAGGTCTCCCTCACTCCATTCACTCACTAACCACAGTTGCCTCCCTGATTTTGGACACACCCTTCACCTCGGAAGTGGGGGTGCTGAATGATGCACCCTCACCATCAGTTGTGGTCAGCAGTAGCCATGTTGCCCAACTTGCATCATCATCATCATCATAGCTGACGTACATATAGTATGTCTGTGGCAGGCACTGTTCTTTACAAATATTATCTTCTTTGATCATCAAAATAACCTAGGAGGTAGGGGCTATTATTACTGCCATTTTACAGTTGAAGAAACCGAGGTAGACAGGTTAAGTGACTTGCCCAATGCCACATAGCTAGTAAGAGTCTGAGGTTGGATTTGAACTCAGGTCTTCCTGATTTAAGGGCCAGTGCTCTAGCCAATGTGCCCCTTTGATGCCTATATATGTGTGTGTGTGTGTGTACTATACATATGTATGTATGTGTAATGTTTATGTGTATATATGTATAGACTATGCATATGCATGTGCAACTATATATGTGTACATGTGCATGTAATATACATGCACACAATTCAATACAGTATATTGTATGCATGTACAACATACACATATACATACATATATGCAACATCATGTATCTACACATACATACATGTACCTACACATGTGCATATATTGTGCATATATGTGTGTGTGTTAGGTACATGCATGTGTACACACAGGCACATTTTGGTTATGTCTGGCTCTTCCTGACCCCATTTGGAGTTTTCTTGGCAAAGATACCAGCGTGGCTTACCATTTCCTTTTCCAGCTCATTTTACAGATGAGGAAACTGAGGCAAACAGGATGAAGTGAGCTAAGTGTTTGAGGCCAGATTTGAACTTTGTGGCTTCAGATCCGGTGCTCTGTTCATTGCCCCACCTAGCTGCCCATACACATGCACACATACATATATTGTGGGTTATGTGTATGTGTGCACATGCATGTATAAGGGAGAGGACTGCAGGGTGGTCACGGGGGGCGGGGGGCACCAATGTGGCACGAATGCACATGCAGGTGCAATCTTTCCTCGAGCAGGAAATAAAGCCCGGTGCTGCATGGGGTGGGAGGGCGAGGCTGCCCAGCCGGCCAGCCTGGTGCCATCTCTGCCCGGACGGTGACACGTCTCGCGCCGTCGCTCCTTATCTAAGGCTTAGAACTTTAAAAGTCGCTGACGCTTGGGTCCATGGAGGGCACCCTGCCCACGGGGGTGGGGGTAGGGGCGCGCCGGCCCCTCCTCCCCATGCCCGTGCAGGCCGCAGGGGGTCTGCCGCTGCAGGGGCTTGTGGATAATGTGCCCGAGACCGCCTCGGGTTGTCGGGTTGTCAGGGGTTTCCACGCCAGCCCTAGAGTGGGCAGGAACTAGGAGCCGAGGAGGGGCTTCGGAGTCACGTGACATCGACTGTGCGCTCATTCGCCCCCCGGGATTAGTTAACTGAGGCCTACTGTGTGCCGGAAGGAGCCGTTTGCAGCGAGCATAGAGCACGTGGTCCCTGCCCTCCAGGCGCCTGCAGTCTAGCCGAGGACGCTTGGTAGGGGGCTGCCCAGCGTGAAAAGAGCTGTGGGCTGAGCGGGGAGGGGGTCTGTGTGTGTGTGTGGGGGGGAATGAGGCCTGGTTTCGCGGCGAGTTACATGCTTCTTGTCCCCCTCCCTGGGCCTCAGTTTCTCCAGCTGCGGGAGTCGGCCCTGGCTGGTCTTCCTAGGGCGCGACTCCTGCCCTCCCCCTAGCCCCGGAGGTGGGGCGGCGCGAGGCCGCACTCTCCACTTCCGCCTCCGAACCGTCCCGCGCAGTTTCCGCGGGTGTGGTTTGCTGTGCCCCGCCCCCGCTGTAGGAAGCACCGCCCCTTTCCGCCCGGCCAATGAGCCGTCGAGGCTTTGCCCCGCCCCTGCCCCGCCCCCAGGCGTCCTGTCCTGGAGCTGGCGGCTGCCCTCCTTTGTCCGGGGTCGGGCGGTCGGAGGGGGGCGGGGATGGGCTTGTCTGGGGCCGGCAAGGGCTGGCGGTCTTGGGGCCTGTAAGTGTGTGACTTCCGGGGCTATACCATTCCCCCGCGGGTCGGTTAGTGGCTCGCGCCCCGGCCCACGTGCGCCCGCCGTCGCCGGGCGTGGGGGTCCTCCACCGGCCCCTCCCTCCTCTTGGCTTCTGGGTGAATCCGGCCCGCGCGTCTGAGCGCTGCGGTTGGCCGAGGGCTCCATTTTACAGACGAGGAAACTGAGGCTTGCTTAAAAAAAACCCCAACCCACCCAAGGTCTAGCAGAGTTGGCCCGGGAGCCGGACCTCCCCACGCCAGGCCAGCCGTGGGAGCAGAGGAGGAAAGGGGGCCCCCCCAACCTCCCACCCACGAGGCTGAAACCGCTGGTCAGCCTAGTAATCGGGGCCTCAAAGGGCCCTCTGCTGCAGGGTTGGTCTGACACCCACCCACCCCACCCCCCACGAGTGGGGAGGGGGAGGGGGAAGAGGACCCCTCAAAGGGCTGGGGGATCCCAGGTCTGGATATGACGACTATCTAGCTCACCCCTCCTGCCATTTTCCAAATGAGGAAACTGAGGCCCAGAGAGCTAAAGTAGCCCCTTGGACCAGAAGGCCACTCAGGGAGTAATTGACAGAACCCACGAGTGTTGGGGGGTGTGGGGCTCTAAATCTTCTGGTCCTATAAAATGGGTTAAAATGATCCTTCCCTCTGGGGGTGGTGGTCTGAGTGCTAGAAACGGGAGGTCAAGCTGGTGCGGGGAGGAGGGTTAGAAAGAGATAAGTGATCATGTATTTTCCCAGAGCATCCTGCCTGGTCATGGGCACTTTATCATTGTTGTTGTGACAATAATTAACTTGTAATTTGTATAGTGTGGTGAAGAAGAAAGAACATAATTTGGAGTCAGAGGACCCAGGTTCAAATTCTGCCTCTTCCACCTAAACTCATGTGTCCTTGGGGCAGTCATTTAGACATCTCTGCACTTCAGTTTCCTCATTTGTAAAATGAGGGGTTTGGCTATTTCACATCCCTGGCAGCCTTCTCTCGTAGTAGATAATCATATTAACACTAATAATCCTGCAGTGTGCATAATGGAAGGGCCTTGGTTAATAGTAATTCCCCACTTAGGGACCATAGTCATCCTCTGCTGCCTTGGTTGTATGGAGGTGACCAGAGTGGATGGAAGGGCCCCAGAGCACTGACCAGAGCGTTTTGATGTGTTAGTGGTAGAGTCCTACCCAAGCCTTCAACCGGCTCTTCTGCCTTCCTCCCAGGGGTAGACCATACTCCAACCCCCTCGCTTCTCTTGCAGAAACTCCGGACAGCACGTTCGAGATGCCAGAGTCTGAGGACTTGACCCAGCTTCGGGAAATGAACCTAGAACTTCTCCGGCAGCTTCGGGTGGGACAGGAGGAGATCAGGAAGTCTGTGGCCTGGGCCAAGGGGGCAGCCCAGATGTTCCCAAAGCTCAAAAAGGAGGAGGTAGGTGCTTATGACGGGAGTTGTCCCAGTGCCTGGTCTGGAACGGGCTCCTTGACCACTTTGGGGGCTGGGGTCCTACTGGGGAGAAAGGCGGTGAGAGAAATGGGCGGGGGGAGCATGGAGACTGGAGTGGAATTCCCTTCTCTGCTAGAGGAGCAGCCTCCAGTCACCAGAGGCCCAGTGCAGCCAAGATGAAGACACCAGGGGGTCCACTGAACACGGCAGCCAATTGGCCCCCCGTCCAGCCTCTAGGGCAGCCACTGGGGACAAAGAAGCCTCAGAACAAGAGCAGAAAAGTGGCAGCCAAGAGCCAGCCCCCCAGAGCAGCCTGCATGACAGGGAGACTTCGCAGAGTGTGTCTTCCCCCAAGTCCCCTCCGTCCAGCCGTCCCCAGGGTCAGGAACCCAAGGACTACCAGAGGCCCAATTCCAGACCCAGTTCAGCAAGCTTGCCATCTTCCCCCGAGGCCTTGGATTTGGAACCCACGATTGATCCCCTGATCCTTGGGGACCAGAGTCCCTTCCATGAAGCAGAAAGCCCGGGGGGCCCAAGGTCCATCCTGACCACTCAGCAGTGGCAGAACTTCGAGGTAAGAGAAATGGGAGGTGGGCCAGATAGCAGCCACCATCAGTTCTGGGCCCTGATAGAGGAGGAGGCCGGTTCTGTTCCTTCCCTCAGGCTCTTCCCCTGTCCCCTCCTCACTCCCATCCCCGTGCACATCCAGACCCAGGGCACACCTTCCCAAGCTGCTCGAGCCTCCCTTATCCTCACAGCACATGCACATGTGGGCCCTGGTCGGCCATTTGGAAGACCGCAGGAAGTGGACAAGGCCATCCTGAAAGCCTCTGGCATTCTCTGGCAGCCATCAGAATTAGCTTGGGCTCCTCTGGCATCCAGGACCTCCCCGGCCTGCCCTTTGTCTGTCCAGGGAGAGATACCGGCTGCACAGTCCTGTGGCCTGTTCGTACTTGGGGTGATAACCCAGAGGGTATATCTCCCCGTGAACGTTTGTGCAGTGCTCATTCTGTGCCAGGCCTTGGACGTCCTGCACATCTGGATGAGCCATGGTCCCTGCCCGCTGGGTGCTTGTATTCTAGCAGGGAAACGCAGTTTCCTGCCATAAGGCAGGAGGTGACTGGTGGCCCTGTCCTCTCAGGTACCTCCCGGGCTTGGTTCTCAATCCATCAGCCTGCAGCTCAGGCCCTCCACCTTGCCGACCCCACCTGGTGGACACTTGCCCTACTGGCTCCAACAGCGAGTTTTCTTGATGAGAGCTGGCGTATGAAGCCTTATTTAGGTTATGATGTGATTGCAGGTGAGCTGTCACATACACACACACACACACACACGCACGCACTTTTTTTGGAGCAGCTTTGGACTGGATATGAAATTAGGCCCAAGCCACATTACAGACATACTAGGAAGAGAGCAGCGGGCAGGGGAAGGTCCTGGACAGGTCCTTGGGTGGAATGGGGCCTGGGCACAACTTCCTTCCACTCCATCCCAAGCATTTATTAAGCGCCTCGTTGTGTGCCAGGTGCTATGGTGAGGGCTAGGAATCCAAAGACAAAAATGAAGCAGTCACTGCCATCAGAAGCTTACATTCTGCTGGGTTACACTCTCCAATCCGTGAATATAGATAAAGTCATTATGTAAACAAAAGTGCCCATGAAAAGACAGTGATTTTAAGAAGGGCAAGAGTGTTCCTAATTGAGTTCAGGCCGAGGGCAGGGATGGGAGATGGGCAGTGGGCGTGGCGGTGACGAGGCCCAGATTTAGCGCTGAGGGGTGGGAAAGGTCTTATGGAAGAGGTGGCACCTGCCTGAGCTACGTCCTGAGGGAGCTGGGGATTCTTCAAGGCTGAAGAGAGGAGGGAGAGCGTTCCAGGCAGGGGGACAGCCTGGCAAAGGCACACAGATGGGGGACAGAGTGTCGTGTTGGGGAACAGAAGTCGGCCTCTTTGGCTGGAACGGAGAGTTTGGGAAAGGGAGTAATTTCCTAGTCAGTATGGCTATACTTTTCTAAAGGTCTCGTGAACAGAAGCTCCTAACTACAGAGGTGAGGAACCTGCGGCCTTGAGGCCACATGAAAGGCCACACTTAAGGACCTAGAAGGCACATGTGGCCTCTAGGCTGGAGGTTCCCCACCCCCTGCAACACTTAGTCCCATGGCTCCAGTGTTTTATTCTAAGCCCCTCACTTCCTTTTCAGTGCAAGCATTTATTAAGCACCTGCTGTATGCCAGGTACCAACACAGGGATACAAGAGTAAAGTGACACGTCCCTGCCCTCGGCGAGTTTTCATTCGCTCAGCAAGCATTCAGCTCTGTTTACCAATGTGTGACAGACACAGTGACTTGTTTAAAGTTAGTAGAAAAGGGGAAGTAGTGGCAGCTAGGTGGCACAGTGGATAGAGCATTGGTCGTGGAGTCAGAAGGACCTGAGTTCAAATCTGGCCTTACTAGCTGTGTGACCCTGGGCAAGTCACTTAACACCAATTGCCTCACAAAAAAAAAGAAAAGGGGAAATAGGATATCATGGATCGTAGAGTGGAAGGGACCCCTTGGAGATTGTCTAGCCCAGGCCCACATGGGGGAAGTAACTTCCCCAATGCAGCACAGGCAGGATTAGCACTCAGGTCTTCCAGCTCCAGGCCATGCTTGCTGTGCAGATGCCAAATGTTCCCTGCCACTGTGAAGGAAACGTGCCTTTCTCCCTCAGTAGCTGCCTTCAAGGCCTGAGAATGGCTGGCCATCTCCCAGCTGCAGAGCTTGGCTGTAGAGGCTTCTGTGAGCATGGACAGCAGGGAGGGTGAGCTTAGGGACCATTGCATCTGAGCTCTCCCTAAAGCGGTGGGAAAACTGAGGCCCAGAGATGCTGAGGATGGTGTCTGGGGTTATTCTGACAGTGAACTGTTGAGCCAGGGTTTGAACCTGCAGGTCTGTGCCCTCTGCCTCTCACTGCCAGCTCAGAGTGCCCTTGGCCCAGCACCGGGCCCTCGGTCTCACCTTGTGGCCCGCACTGTCCCTCCCTGTCTCTCCTCTCCCACTCCAGGGTTGCTGGACACGGCATCTCCTGTCACCCATAAATCTGAAAACTACTTCTCTGATCTTCAAGATTTTCGGGAGGCTAATAAGGAAGAATGTATTTCCAGATACCCAGAGTGAGCAGACAGGATGGGAGGATGGGCTGTGGTTGGGGGCAGCACGAGAACCCCGAGGAGGGGGACACCTAGTCTTTCTCACCTCCTCTTCCCCTCTTTTGCCCTATCTCCCTGCCCACAGGCTGGATTCTCTGGACTTGCCCTCTTCTACTAGAAACAAGCAAACCCCGGATTCCCATCAGTGTAAGTCACCCCCTCCCCTCCCCGAACCCCGGGCCATGGGATGTTCTTCTCTTGCCTTCCTGTCTCAGAGCCCCAGGTCCAAAAAGGGTGCCCCCCAGATGCCCAGGGCAAGAGGCTTAGAGATTCAGTGGAGCCACGTTAGCTGTCATGGGCCCCTGCACTATTCTGTGTCTGTTGGAGACACTGCTCCCCTCTGGGGACACAGTGAGGAAATGGCCTGCCCTCTGGAAGCCTGTGGTCTAATAGGGGTGTAGCATGTGAACACACATGACACCAGGGAAGTAGATGAGGGCTGAAAGAGAGCCCAGCAGAGAGCTGGGGGAAAGCAGAGGCAGGAGGTGCCACGTTCACGTGTCTGGGAAAGGCCAGCCTTCCCTACAGGGTGGTATACAACATTCCCTCTCTGGTTGGATCTGCCGATCCTCCCAGGCTGCCTACTGTGTACTCCTGGTCTAGCGCCCTGCTGCTTGCTGCGTGCCCCCCCCCCTCTAGTGCCCTGCCGCCTGCTGCATGCCCCCACCAGCGCCCTGCTGCCTGCTGTATGCCCCTACCCCCCTCTAGCGCCCTGCTGCGTGCCCCCATCCCCCTCTAGCACCCTGCCACCTGCTGTGTGCCCCCACCCCCCTCTAGCGCCCTGCCGCCTGCTGCGTGCCCCCACCCCCCCAGCACCTTGCCGCCTGCTGTGTGCCTCCACCCCCCTTTAGCGCTCTGCTGCCACCATACATCCCCAGTCTAGCTCTGCTTTTGAGCCAAACTGTCTTCCTCGCCATTTCCCATCTCCAAACACTTGCACAGGCTGTGCTTCCCGCCTTGCCTGGAATGCTTTCTCGCCTTCACCCCCTGTGTTCCCTTCAGAACTGAACCCAGGTGCCCCCTCCTCCAAGAAGCCTCTCCTGGTTTCCCCAGTTGTTAGTGTCCCCTCCCCCCAAATTCCCGTGTGTTTCTTTGGTGTACGTATTTTGTATTTCTGAGGGATCACAGAACCCTAGATCTAGAGCTGGAAGCCAGCTCTGAGGCTCTTTACTCTAATCCCTTTGTTTTACAGATGAGGAAACTGAGGCCTAGAAAAAAAACAGCTTGGAGAATCCTAGACGTAGATCTAAAAGAGACCCCCGAGGTCATTTATTCTGACACCTCCCCCCCCATTCTAGAGATTTAAGTGATTTAGGGGCATCATCTTGGAGCTCTAGAGCTAGAAGGGGCCTCAAAGGTCATCATAGCCAGACTCATTTGACAGATGAGGAAACTGAGGCCCAGGTGGGTTCAGGGACTTGTCCCAGGTCACACAGGCAGTTAATGTCATTGTCAGGATTCAGACCTATGTTCTTGGATCCCAGGCCAGACACAACGTTCTTGCCTCATACGTGCTGCCCCCACCACCCCAATTATACCGTAGACTATAAGCTCCTTGAGGAGAGGGACTGCTTTGTTTCTTTGTATCCCCAGTGTAGGCACTTAGGAGACATTATCAGCATTCAGGGATGACATGAGTTGGAGAAGGTGGCTTCCAAGTCATGTGTGAAAGGAGGAAGGGATGGGAATGAGGGTGGGCCACCAGGGTCTTTGTGCCAGTCGAGTGGGGTGAGGAAGGGCCAGAGCGTTAAAACAGGCATGAGTGCGAGGTCTCCCGGCCAGTGGGCGGGAAGGGGGATGGGCCCTGCCACGTTGGGCATCTGAAGGTCAGTCCATGCCCTGGGCAGAGGAGCAGAGTACTGGGGGTGAGGCCTGGGCCAGGGGGCCACCGCGACCATTGTGAATATTCCCTTTCAGGTTTACATTGTTACCGCGTCAACCAGCGTCTGTTCACGGTTCCCCTGCATCCGCTAGCTACCTGCCCTGTGTGCAAGGCCTCCCGCGGCCAGAGCAGCCCTGAGACTCTGGATCACCCTGCCCAAGTCAGGTGTCTGGAGGGCAGAGGGAGGGGAGGGGCAACGTCTTTCCTTGTTGCCCAGTGTGGACCCTTTAGCCAAGTGGGCAGGAGGTTGTTTGTGAAGCCCAGGCTCTGGGATACATAATGACCAGGGTGTCACAGCTAAAAGGGACCTTCCAGATTATCCAGGTCACGGCCCCTGCCCCCTTTATTATACAGAGGAGGGAATGAAGACTCCAAGGTGATGCATCAGGGCATAGAATCCTCAAGTCTCTGAGCCGGAAGGGGCCTCAGGCCCTCAGGCCCTCTTGCTTAACTGGATTTAGGCAGAAACTCCCCCCCCCCCATGTTCCCAGCAAGGGGCCCTTCAGTATTCCACTGGAGACCTTTGAATGAGTGCCTGAGACAGCTCATTCCCGGGGTGGAGGGCCCCTGTAGCTGTAGCATGGACAGGCCCAAAGGTGGGTCTGGCTGCCCCCCCTTGGTACACCCACTGTGGTACTCTTAGTTAGGCCTGTGTCTTCAGAGGGGACCAGGGCTTAGGATGGAAGAATGGGGTTGACGGGCCTGCCGGTTTGGGGCTTGATTTGCCGTGACCCTCAGCTGATCCCAACAGGCCCCTCTGGGTTTCTTGGTTGGGAGGCCCCTTTGGCTCTCTCACTTCAGCTGACCTTCCAGGGCAAGGCCTGGACTAAGCCCTGCTTCTCTCCCTTTGTACAGAGTGAGTATCCCTTTCTCTACCTTCCTGCCGCCCCACCAATACCCCATTCATCGACGAAAAAGCTTCGATGCCTCAGATACCATGGCTTTACCCCGGGTGAGTGACCTGCTGTCCAGCCCCACCTCCTTGCCCTCTTGTTCATTCATCTCTTCATTCACAAACCCACATGAAGCCTCACCTTTGTGCACATCCCAAGACTGGGGCTGGGGGAGGAAGATGAAGCTTAGCCGAGCCTCGGGACTACGGAGTCGAGGAGGGAGGAGGGGGAGGAGGAGAGACACGCAGCACCCAGCTGTACAAGAGGGTAGTGACTGCATAGGCCTTCCGGAAGGAGCTTGTTTAATCCTTTGCTGGTCCCCCTCCCTCCAACAGCACTGCCTGATGGGCTGGGACAACCTCCCCGTGCCATCAGCTGGCATTTCTGCTCTCAGCAGCCTGGACCTCAGGACCTCCTTAGACGCCAGTGCTCAGCGGACAGAGCCCTTAGACCACTCCTATTTGGTAAATCCACTGGGCCTGTTCTGGCCAGCAGAGGAGTAGAGTGCCCTGCCTGCCATTGGGGTGGCCATAGTCACCCTGAGGCTCCAGGCTAAGGGGGAGGGGGTGTTCTCTGGGGAGGGAGTGTGGGTTGGGGGCTGTGCTTCCTGGAGAGTGAGGAAGGTGCTTTCCATCGTTGGCCTCTCCCACATTCAGTCCCTGTAAGCAGCACCCTGGGAACCCCCTCAGGAGGGAGCCCGAAAAGAGGGGAAGGAGAGGAGGCCCGATTCCTGACTTGGGAGCAGGGTCCACGGTCTCTGTTTCACCTTCTTTCCCTGCCGCTGCCACTTAGTCAGGGCATTTGAGGGCTGTGGGCTGCTTCCTTTCCCAGCTCCTGATGCTAACTCTGCCTATCACTTTAGTCATCTAGGACTTCAAACTGGAGCTGGTCAGACCCTCTGCTCTCCGTGTCTCGACCCACACAATTCCAGCCGGGCAATGTTTCTGAGCACTACAGGTCGGGTGGCAGGGGCTTCCCCCGGCCATGAGGGCACATTCCCATCCCCAGCCCTGTCCTGTTGGTGGGAAGGGCCCTGGCCTCCAGGAAGGGCAGGGAAGGGATGCCCACAGGGGTTCATTCTCCTTTGGGCCAAACTTGTTCTGCCCACTCTTAGCAAGCGGCATCTACACACTGTGGAAGATCACCATCCCACTGTCCCCTGCCCACCTGCCCCTCAGGGAAGGTGCTGGGAGACTATGGGATGGGATGGGATGGGGGCTCAGGCCCAGGCATGCCCCTGGGCCAATGTGCCGTGATTACCATGAGGGCAGAGGCAGCTACTTGTGCCTTTTAAAAAATAAAACCGGGAGACCTCTCAGGGGCTTTGTCCTCTTCCCTTGCTGCAGAGAAGTTATGGGACTTGCCTTTGGGCACACCGTCAGTCCGTTAGTGCCAGGTCCATCTGCTGGCCCTGCCTCTAGAAAGTTTTCTCAGACTGGGCTGCCTCTCACAATTCTGGGCAGGCATGGAGGGGGCCAGTGAAGGCAGGTGGTCTAAGGGCTCAAGGGCCCAGGGCGGCCCCGGCCTGTCCACCCTGAGAGCCCCAGTTCACGTGGGACACTCTGAGTGCAGGAGCTTGCCACAATGAACACAGGTAGAATAGCAAAGAAACCCCTTTGTCCAAGTTGTAAGCAAACATAAACCAGATAAGGTATGTGTACGAGAATAGATAGCAGTCAACACAGAGTGAAGGAGCTCTCCTTTTGGGAGGGAGGTGACTCAGGTCAGCCGAGAGAGAGGGTCATGGAGCTCACCCAAGAGGAAGCTCCCTGACATCTGCAGAGGGCCAAGCTGGGGCTGGGGACCTCATGGAGGCTGCCAGCTGCACTCCAGGCCTGTTGTTCCAGAGTCTGGGCTTGGCCTCGCCATCTTTTGAGGCTAGAATCCAGGAGTGCCCGAAGGGACTGGACACTTGAAAAAGAGTGCAAGTTTGGCCATGCCGCAGGGGACTGACCCTGAAGAGTCCCAAAGGAGGACTGGTTAAGAATGGAAACTCGCTCTTCTCACCAACTCTGCCCGGCAGGCATTCATCTCCACCAACAAGGAGAGAGTCCTATCCCAATGGACTTTGGGGCAGGGGCTGCGTTTTGTACCAACTTCTCTGTGTATATATTATTCACATCTCGCTTCCCCCTCACCGACTCCAGCATATGCTCCTTTGAGGTCAGGGACTATTTCGTTTACGTCTTTTTATGGCTAGTGATTGGCCCATTAGCCTAGTGAATTGAACTGAGGGGGATCATTTCATATTCCTTCCCTCCAACCTGTGAGCACACGCGCGCACACACACACACACACACACACACACACACACACACACAATTTTTTTCCTTGAAATGTCTTCGATGATTCCTCGTTTTCTCTCAAAAACCCAACCTGCCCTAGAGAACACCTAACTGCCTGACCCAGTCCTAGTCAGGACACTTGGGGTGTAAGCCAAGCAGGGACAGAGAGGGAGTCACAAATCCCTTCCATTCAAAGATGGAAAATGGGAAGTTGGCTGGGATGAGATCTGAGGATTATTAAAAACGGGGGAAGAGAGGGAGCAGGACTGCATTGTGGGCATCTTCAGGACCTCAGTTCATCGTGTTCCACAAAAATTTATTTAGCCCTTGTGTGCTAGGCGCTAGCTAAAAGCACCCTGACTTTGAATGGCAAAGGCAACCTGCAGCCAGATGGAGTGGGGAGGGCAACCAGAGCTGAGTCACATACGGTCACTGCCACTTTAAATCTGATCCCGGAATCCTGAAATCCACTAGGCTGAAAGTGACTGCAGCCAGAGGAAATAGAGCAACCCAGGGGTGGGGGCTGGAGTTTCTCTAGCAAGGCCCAGCTTTGGGGCTGCCAGCTCTCTTCCACCCAGACCACATACGTCAGCAGCCCCTGTGCAGAGCTGCCCAAGCGCACACGTGCCTGGGGTGGTGGGAATGTCAGCCTGCAAGCATGACATCCCTAACCCATCTCTTCTGCCTTTCTTGGTTAGACTTATTCACGAACCCCTTGTAGGCTGCCTCTCCTGACTTCAGATGATGTGGGAGAGCTAAGAGTGAAAGTAAAGGCTTGGGATCAAAGTATGAGGTAGTTGAGGCAGAGATTATTCAATCTCTGGGATGTACATTCTAGAGGTAAATGAAGAATGTGAGAGCTGGGAGGGGTCTTAGAACACAGGATGGCAGAGCTGGGAGGGTCCTTAGAACACAGAATGTGGGAGCTGGGAGGGCCCTTAGAACGCGGAATGTCAGAACTAGGAGGGCCCTTAGAGCACAGGATGTTAGAGCTGGGAGGGGCCTTAGAACATAGCATGTCAGAGCTGGAAGGGCTCTTCGAACATAGAATATCAGAGCTGTGAGGGATCTTAGAGCAGAGGATGTCAGAGCTGGGAGGGCCTTAGAAAAGGTAATGTCAAAACAATAATTGGAAACTAGTTTGCCCAACTGTATGCCAATAAATTTGACAAACAGTGAAATGGATGAATATTTACAAAAATGTAAATTGCCCAGATTAACAGAAGTAAAAAAAAAAACATTTCAGAAAAAGAAATTGAATAAGCCATCATTGAACTCCCTAGGAAAAAATCCCCAGGGCCAGATGGATTTACGAGTGAATTCTATCAAACTTTTTTTAAAACTTTTTTTTAGGCTATTTTAAAAAGTTTTTATTTTTAAGGCAATTGGGGTTAAGTGACTTGCCCAGGGTCGCACAGCTAGTAAGTGGCTGAGGTCAAATTTGAACTCCAGGGCTGGTGCTCTATCCACTGCATGACCTAGCTGCCCCTATCAAACATTTAAAGAACAATTAATTTCAATACTATATAGACTATTTGGGAAAATAGGTGAAGAAGGAGTCTTATCAAATTCTTTTTATGATACAAATATGGTGCTGATACCTAAATCAGGAAGAGTCAAAACAGAGAAAGAAAATTATAGACCAATTTCCCTAACGAATATAGATGCAAAAAAATTTAATAAAATATTAGCAAATAGATTACAGCAGCTTATCATGAGAATAATACACTATGACCAGGTAGGATTTACACCAGGAATGCAGGGCTGGTTCAGTATTAGGAAAACTACCAGCGTCATTGAGCATATCAACACCAAAACCAACAGAAACCACATGATCATCTCAATAGATGCAGAAAAAGGTTTTGACAAAATACAACACCCACTCCTACTAAAAACACTGGAAAGCATAGGGATAAATGGAGTCCTCCTCAAAATGCTAAGTAGCATCTACCTAAAACTTTCAGCAAGCATTATATGTAACAGGGATAAGCTGGACACATTTCCAGTAAGATTGGGGATGAAACAAGCATGTCTGTAACCACCTCTGCTGTTGAGTATCGTACTGGAAATATTAGCTTTAGCAATAAGGGAAGAAACAGAAATTGAAGGCATTAGAATAGGCAAAGAAGAAACAAAGCTATCACTCTTTGTAAATAATATGGTGATATATTTAGAGAATCAAGTAAAAAACTACTTGAAATAATAAACAACTTTAGCAAAGTTGCAGGCTATAAAATAAACCCACAGAAATCGTCAGGATTTCTATATATTACCAAACAAAGCCCAACAGCAAGAGATAGAGAAATTCCATTTAAACTTACTGTAGACATTATAAAATATTTAGGAGTCTACCTGCTGAAACAAACCCAGGACTATATGAAAACAGTTACAAACTGCTTTTCACACAAATAAAGTCAGATCTAAATAATTGGGACAACATCAGTCACTCATGGGTAGGCCAAGCTAATGTAATAAAAATGACAATTCTACCTAAGCTAATTTACTTATTCAGTACCATACCAATCAAACTACTAAAAAATTATTTTATAGAGCTAGAAAAAATAAGATTCCTTTGGAAGAACAAAAGATCCAGAATATCAAAGGAACTAATGAAAAGAAATACTGGGGAAGGTGGCTTAGCTGTTCCAGATTTTTAGATTGTATTATAAAGCAGCAATCATTAAAACTACTTGTTACTGGCTAGGAAATAGAATGATGGATCAGCGGAATAGGTTAGGTATGAAAGACACAGTAGTTAATGACTATAGTAAGCTATTGTTTGATAAGCCAAAAGAACCCGGCTTCTGGAATAAAAACTCTATTTGACAAAAACTGCTGGGAAAACTGGAAAATAGTATGACAGAATAGACCAAAATTTTACACTGTATACCAAAATAAAGTCAAAATGGGTACATGATTTAGATATAAAGGCAAACTGGGAGAGCAAGGAATAGTTTACCTGTCAGATTTATGGAGAACAGAAGAATTTACAACCAAACAAGAGACAGAGAATATTATGAAATGCAAAGTGGATAATTTTGATTACATTAAATTGAAAAGGTTTTGCACAAACAAAGCCAATGCCACCAAGATTACAAAGGAAGCAGAAAACTGGGAAAGAATTTTTACAATCCATGTCTCTGATAAGGGCCTTATTTCTGGATACATAGAGAACTAAGTCAAATTGATAAGAATACAAATCATTCCCCAATTGGTAAATGGTCAAAGGATATGAACAGGCAGTTTTCATAGGAAGAAATTAAAGCTATCTATAGTCATATGAAAAATAAATCACTATGGAGTAGAGAAATGCAAATCAAAACGACTCTGAGGTACCACATCACACCTGTCAGATTGGTCAACGTGACAAAACAGGAAAATTATAAATATTGGAGAAGATGGGGGAAAATTGAAACATTTAATGCATTGTTGGTGGAGTTGTGAACTGATCCAACCATTTTGGAGGACGATTTGGAACTATACCCAAAGGGCTATAAAAATGTGCATACCCATTGACCCAGCAATAGCATTTGTAGGGCTGTATCCCAAAGAGATCATAAAAATGGGGAAAGGACCCACCGGTACAAAAATATTTGTAGCAGCTCTTTCTCTGGTGGCAAAGAATTGGAAATTGAGGGGATGCCCATCTATTGGGAAGTGGCTGAACAAGTTGTGGTATATGAATATAATGGAATACTGTTGTGCTATAAGAAACGATGAGCAAGCAGACTTCAGAAAAATCTGGAAACACTTATATGAACTGGTGCTGAGTCAAGTGAGAAGAACTAGGACAACATTGTGCACAGTTAACAGCTACTCAGTGTGATGACTAACTTTCATAATAGACTTGGCTCTTCTCAGCAATGCAAGGATCTAAGACAACTCCAAAAGTCTTATGATGGAAAATGCTGTCCACATCCAGAGAAAGAACTATGGAGTCTGAACACAGATCGAAGCATACTATTTGCTCTTTTTTGTTTTCTGTTTTGTTTCTTCTTTCTTGTGGTTCTTCCTTTTGGTTCTAATTCTTTAC